TGAAGGAAGCGGTCCCAGTCTCTTTGGTGATCAGAGACTACCTTGGACAGGTACCGGTTTATCGTTCTATTCATTCGTTCTACCATTCCATCAGACTGCGGATGTAATGCAGTCGTCCTCGTCTTCCGAATGTTAAGAATCTTACAGACATTCTGGAACAATATAGATTCGAAGTTCCTGCCTTGGTCTGAATGCATCTCCATTGGCACACCAAAACGACAAATCCACTCCTTAATAAGGGCATCGGCCACTGTGGCAGCTTCCTGGTTTGGCAAGGCGTACGCTTCCGCCCACTTGCTGAAGTAATCCATTACAACGATGATGTATTTATTTCCAGACTCTGTTTCCGGAAATGGACCCGCCACATCGATTGCAATTCTCTCAAATGGGCTGCCCACATTGTACTGTCGCATTGGGGCTTTTGGGCGCTTCTGGGGTCCATTGCTTGCCGCGCAAACGGCGCACTTCTTGCACCATTCCTTCACATCTCGTTGGCTGTTGACCCAATAAAACCGTTCCCTAAGTCTTCCGAGCGTCCTGGTCACCCCAAGATGTCCTCCAGTAGTTCCATCATGGATTTCCTGCAGCACTTCTGGTATCCTGTTTCTGGGGATTATTATCTGCTTCCGGTCTTCCCCCCCTTCTGGCATCTCCAGAACGCGCTTTAGAAGCCCGTCACTTAAGATGATGGAATTCCATTGGGCCCAGTACGATTTCACATTCGGCGAATATTGGGCGACTTCCTGCCACGTTGGTTTACGGTCGTTTTTCTTCCAATCGATGATAAGCTTCAAATCCGGGTCCCTTTCCTGGTCTTGTTGAACCTCAGCGGATTGCCAATGATCATCCACGATTGTAGTCCTGCGAACCAACACATCCTTTTCTTCGGCCCTGAGACAATGTTTACAGTCTTCCGGGCACGGTCTTCTTGACAAGGCGTCAGCATTTCTATGGATCGTCCCAGCCCGATGTTCTGTGTCAAAGTCGAACTCCTGTAGTCTTTCAATCCATCTTGCTACCTGTCCTTCAGGATTCTTGAATTGCAAAAGCCATTTAAGGGCAGCATGATCCGTTCTTAGCAAGAATTTTCTTCCATACAGGTACTTGTAAAAGTGTTCGACTGCTTTTACCACTGCCAACAGCTCGCGTCGAGTAACACAGTAATTTCGCTCTGGTTTCGATAGAGTTTTACTGAAGTATCCAATAACTTTCTCTTTTCCTTCTTGAATCTGCGACAAAACAGCTCCCAGGCCCACATTGCTGGCGTCCGTGTCCAAAATAAATTCACCATCCGGAAGTGGATAACTCAGGACTGGTGAGCTGGTCAACGCGTTTTTCAGGTTCTTAAAGGCTTCTTGGCATTCGTCGTCCCATTGAAATCGTCTTTCTCCCTCTGTTAAACGTGTCAAAGGCTTAGCAACCTTTGCGAATCCTGGTACGTACCGACGGTAGTAGGTGCATAATCCCAGAAAGCTTCTTAAGTCATGTTTATTCTTCGGTATTGGCCATTCCCGCACCGTCTTCACCTTCTGTTTATCCACTGCAACTCCTTGACTTGAAACGACATGGCCCAGATACTGCACTTCCCTCTGGAACAAGTGACATTTCTTTGGGCTAAGCTTCAGGCCGGAACTTCTTAAGCGCTGAAAAACTTCCTTCAGGTTCTTCATATGGTCCTCAAATGATTTTCCAACCACAATAATGTCGTCAAGGTACACCAAGCAAGTCTTCCAGGATAGTCCCTTTAAAACCATTTCCATGAGCCTTTCAAAAGTTGCAGGGGCATTACATAGTCCAAACGGCATGACAGTAAACTGCCACAGTCCAGCACCCACGGTAAACGCCGTCTTTTCTCTATCTTCTGGTACCATTTCAACCTGCCAGTAACCGCTTTTCAAATCCAAAGTCGAAAATATTTGGGATCCAGCCAATGTATCCAGGGTGTCATCTATCCTAGGCAGAGGGTAGCTGTCCTTCTTCGTCACGTTGTTCAGCTGACGAAAATCGACGCAAAATCTAGTTGATCCATCCTTCTTCTTAACTAACACCACTGGGGAAGACCATGGGCTGTTAGATGGTTCGATCACCCCTTCCTTCTCCATTTCTTGCACTATTTTATCAGCTTCCTCTCGCTTAGCAAGAGGTAGCCTTCTTGCCGACTGTCGAATAGGCTGTGCATCACCGGTGTTAATTTTATGCTGGACAATTCTTGTCCTACCCTTCTTTCCTTGTCCATCATCAAAGACGTCCTGATAGTTGTGTATCAGCTCTCTCAGCTTTATTCTCTCATTTGGTTTTAAGTCCTTTGAAGAAGTCGAAAGCAGAGTCGTCAATTCATTGCTAATTTTCTTGGCCGGAACTCCAGACTCACGAATGCTTCTAATAATTGAGGAAACAGAAGAACAGTTCCCCAAAACGATTCCTTTTTTCAAGTTCACAGAGTAACCATTAACATTCAATACTCTTACAGGCACTTCTTTTCCGACACGTATTAAAGTCTTCCCTATTACAACTCCTCGACCGACCTCTTTGTCATCAATTTTCGGCTCCAGAAGCATTATACTTCCATCTTCTGATTTACAATCCAAGAAAGCCTTCAATATCATCTCGCTGTGTTCCGGTATCAAAGCATCTTCTGTTAGCATTACACGAATATTCTTTTCTTTTGATCGATGCAACACGACTTCTTCTCCATTTACTCTCAATATTCCTTGTTGAAAGTTTAGTTCAAATCCTATAGAGTTCATAATGTCCATGCCTACAATAACTTCATCTTCAATATCTGCTACTAATGCTCGATGTTTAAATTTCGTGTTTCCTATGACCATAGTGATGTCCACTTCTCCATGAACAGTAGCAGTATCTCCTGTTGCAGTACGTAGTCGCCGATTGGTAGATTTGATCTTGGACATTTCGACAATATCTGGCCTAATAATTGTCTTCATCGCACCTGTATCCAGTAGCAGCACATGTAATTTTCCATTAATAAAACCATCCACAAAAACACTGCTGGACTGGTGTAGAAGAGATGCAACACGTTCGATATCTTCTGGGGCATGCTGGTTACAGGTCGACGGTAGCCCCTTTTCCTCGACCCTATCTAGTTTTCCGACTGAGACGAAGTCGGCACCTCTTGGCTTTTTCTGCAACGACTTCGTATATGTCCGAGCTTTCCACATCTCCAACACCGGATTTCCTTCTTTTCTGGTAGATTCTCTTTAAGAACTCGCCTGATTTCTTCGATTATGCTGGGTTCCTCCTCTTTTTCTTCCTCGACTCTCCTAATTCTATGCTGGCTCCTGCAGCTCTGCTTTGCCGCCTCGAATTCCAAAGCTCGAGCCAATGCATCAACCAGTTGGCTCGGACGAGCCAATGTCAGAGCCTGTCGTGTTTCATTGTCCCGAAGTCCATCCAAAAAGGCTTGAACCGCTAATCGTTCCATAACGGTCGTTGGAGTAGCTGGATATGCTAGCCGGACCAAGCGTGCAATATCAGCCTCAAATTCTTGCAAAGTCTCGTTAGATTTCTGGCAGCGATTCTTCAGTTGGGAATGGTACACATGTTCCAGATGTGTCTGGCCATATCGCAGTTCCAGGTGTTTCACCAAGGCTTCGTAATCTTCTTGTTCGTTTGGAGAAAGTGTCTGCAAGATGTCCGTTGCATCTCCGCGTAAAGCAAGAGTTAATGCTGTAGCTTTTTCTTCCGGTAGCCAGCCATTTGCTTTTGCTGCTGCCTCAAACTGACGGATGTAATTTGTCCAAGAAGTTTTTCCATCGAACTGAGGTGGTTTCATCCGTACTCGGCTTCCCTCCGGCACTGCTCCTGGTTCCGTCAGCATCATTGGTAAATTTACAGCTTTCAGTTTACTATTTATTTCTCTAATTTTGACCTCCAATTTCTCGTTCAATTTTTCTTCTCTCGTATCCAATTCCATCCTTACGTTATTTAATTCCATCCTTACATCGTCAACTTTCTGTCCCACTTTCTCTTCTAATTCATTGACATTTTCTAGAATTTTCCCTTCCAAATATTCTTTTAGGTTTTTAGAATTTTCTAGCATTTTCTGTTGAAACTCGTTAGAATTGTCCAAAATTTTCTGTTGTAAATCGTTAGAATTTTCTAGCATTTTCTGTTGCAAATCGTCCTTTAATTCGTTGACATTTTCCAGAATCTTCTGTTGTAAATCGATTTTCAAATCGCTAGAATTTTCCACCATTTTCTGTTGCAAATCATCCTTTAAATCGCTAGAATTTTCTACCATTTTCTGTTGTAATTCGTTAGAATTTTCTAGCATTTTCTGTTGTAAATCACCTTTCAAATTTTGCAACAATAAATGCATATCACACGAACCTTCAAATAAATAGGTATCTGGATTTTCACCCTCTTGTTCCAACGCTTCTCGAAGCCGCTGCTGCAACACATTCTTTTTTCCAGTTGTTTCACATTCTCTTTCTTCCAGTTCCCGCTTAAGGTCCGCCACTTTTAAGTCCATTAACGAAACCATTTTCGCGAAGTTTCACACTAACCGCACTCCTGACACCAATGTAACGTTTTTTAACTGTTCGTAGTGTGAATTAAAACACGCACTGGTTAATTAACGAACTAAACTATTTATTTAATAACTTAACTACACTTAAAACACTATAAAACTAACTAAACACTTAACACTACTAATTATTTATATATCGCTATTGTTCAAGAGTCTATTTATTTGCACTTATATTTATTTATTTCGCCGCGAGTACCAAATCTTAACTGACTGCTCTGTGTTGCTCCGTTTCTTATATATTCAGCGCCAAGGTCTTCTGGAACATTCCAGCGAGCTCCACACTCTCGATTGTTCGAGCGCTGAGTCACCGGCGATGACTAACCGGCGATGACTCATCGGCGATGAGTCATCACTCCGATATGCAGAGCGGTACTCGCTACAGTATATAATTTCCCACAAAGATATGTCCTGGTTTTATTAATACAACTTAAGTTAAGTATAACTGACTCACCTGTAAATCTGCAGTCAAATATCTTTAATTTCTGATAACCAAATCTGGCCAAACCAAAATAAGCAATGGAGTCACTATCCAAACTTTTACACCCCACTAGAGAAATTATTTCCAAACTTTCGTATTTTGCGATGGACATCAAAAAACCGCAATCAGTCCAGTGGCAGCCATCCAAAATCAAAACCTTGAAAAATAAAATGAATAAAAGAAATATTAGTGGTCGGAACTTACCCTTAATTTTGTAAATCTTTCGCAAGACCCCTTAAAAAAGTTCCTGTTCATTTTGATGTAACTCTCTCTTAAACTCAACTCCTCCAAATTTCTAGGAAAATGCGAGTATTTTACATATCTGCCATCAATAAATTGATTCTCCAAGGCTAGAATCTTCATATTATCAAACTTGGTGATGTTCGAAAAAAAGGCCCTCTGTACAACACCAATTTTTTTGCTGTGCGCTCTAAAAAGGGCAGTGCAGGTTTTTTCGTGGACTCTATCGGCGCAATAGGCAACTTTTTCTGTGGTATTTGGTTCTTTTCTTGCATCAATATATCTCCACAATGATAAATCGGATATTATGTTCTTAAAGTATAAGTTTGTTCTGAAAAGAAGTAGGTATATAATAAATAGATACATCATACTTTGGAATAAATGTATAATATATACCTGCTCATTTGATACAACGAAGTAGAATCCAAATAAGACAGCAAAATCATCATCAAACAATCCGGTAAGGATAGTAGATGCGATTTTTCCTCACTATCACAATCCATTTCGCTTGCAAAGTATCTCACGCGCCTCAAAACGTTAAAAAACTACATCAGTTTAAAGAAATTAACAAGAAAAACTAATATTATGATCCTAAATCTCTATTGTTGTTTACTATCAGTGCTGCCAGATTGAAAACTTGAATTTCCCCCAAAGGTTGCAGCTAAAAACCCCAAAATACCCCAAATAGAAAATCACGGAAACGATTTTTTTAAATTGGCGTTGACAATTTTTACGGTTACAAACACACTGAAAAAAAAATGTAAATAACAATATGTAAGTAAATATGCCCCAAACGCTACATTGGTTTTATTTACCACAACTAAATTGTTATGATAAATATAATCACATGTAGCATTTAGGAAATATACAACCACGAAAACTGTTATTTTTACCACATTTTTTTCTTAGTGCAGGTTTTAATAAAAAAAAACAAATTTTTTAGATAATTATTATTTATTATTATAAAAATATTTCCCATCACCACAACTTTGAAACTAGCATTTTTCTGTTTGGTTCAAACATCAAAATTCCATTATATTTTCCAACTCCTTGCTTAGCATACAGAAGGGAAGCAATGGTTTCAGTATTTAAACAATTTGTTTTTGTTTTTTTTTCAGATCACAATTACAATTACAGTATAAATTTAAATATAACAACACAACAAACTAATTCTTACGAAAAAAACACTGTTTTATCTTGGTTGCCTAATGTCATGAGCTTAGAACTTCCAAGAAACATTAGGCAACCAAAATGACACAGTGTTTTGGTTTATAAAAAGTTGGCAAAACTTGCTGTCAAATAATAAAACCAAAGAATAATCCTATAATAATTATTAAGTATTGTGTTTAAAGTAGTGTTATTAAAATTTAACTAGATAATCCACATAAACATAAAAAAAATTCTGGAAATTCCGAAAAAACCCCATAATACCCCAAAATAAGCTTTACCCCAAAATTTCCCCAAAGCAAGATGAAATCCCCCATTTTGGGGTAAAAACCCCAAATCTGGCAGCACTGTTTACTATAAACATTGATAAGTGTCAAAATCACAAAAAGCCGACCATTTGACGTTTATACAATGTGCGCAGATGCCAGATTTTACGAGCACCACTAACTACTTTTTTGAGCACTAATATTCTTCTATAGGGTGTAACAAGTTTTGGAAAGTTTTTAATCTGTGCGTACTTCTACAAAAACTTATCACTTTTTTAATCATGTTCAAATTTTACCTTAACTTAAGTTTATCAGCAGTAAAAGGCAACAGCGCGTTTAGGTATTCAGCGCCCTCTACACATTTGTGTTCTAAAATCTATCGATCACATTTTCGAAACATTTGAATTAATTTTAAAAGCAATTATACAGCAAAATGGCACTATCCGAGGGAATTAAACAACGTTTATCAATTGTTATTGAAATGTCAAAAACAGTCTTCCACTATGGCTTTATACCTGCAGTCGTATACTTAGGTTAGGTTTTTTTAATTTGTAAAATGTACAGTATATTAATTTTGTTGTATTTTAAAGGTTTTCAGAAGGGGGCTGATCCCGGTATGCCAGAAATATCACTATCCAGGTAAAAAAATTGAATAATTTGACGTTCATGTACTAACATAACCTCACTTTTTAGCCTACTCTGGTAAATTGGTACCTGTCATGTTTTAATAGATTTATGTGTAAAATGTTTTAATAAAATAATTTATTTACTAAACAAAGGGTTTTATTTAGGGATGTAACATTATTTATACATATAGAGGCTTATCAAAAAATAAATTAGGACTAGATGGTAGGTATATAAATTTAAAAAAGTAAAAGTAAAGATTTCTCTAAAAATAATAACTTATAAGGAAAAACTATGTTTCTTCAGCTTGTGTAACTTCTGTGTACAGATAGTCTTGTTTTCTACGTTGGCGAATAAAAAAGTAAATTATCACAATAACGCTTATTACGAAAAGCAAAACAGCAGCCCTAAAAAATTCAAAACCTAATAAACATACTCAAAAATTATTAAATAGTTTTTACCAATAATACCATACTTCGACTGATTTACAGCATTTATTCTCTCCACAACAGTATAACCCCTTTTCACACAATCCAAAATCACAGTAGTCGGCGAAAACCTAAAAAACAATCGAATAAACAAAAAAGAACCAATCAAAAACAGCTTCTTACGCTTTTAATAAACAAAAAACTGAAAACAAATGACACTTTCTTCATTTTAATAAGAGTATCAGTGAAAATAACTACTTATTTCATCTTCCACCACCGCTTTGAGATAAAACAATTGTTATTGTTTATTAAACGAACTTTTTATAGTTGAATTATTACAACACTGATTTATTTTATCATTAACAGCAAAGTTGTTCTTTGATTAGTAGCATTCAGTTTATAAAGCAAGCATTGACATTTAAAAGCAATGTTGCCATTTATACAAATATCCATACAAAATTAAACAAATAAATAAAAATATCGCAATCACAATAATTTATTGTATACAATAATTATTTACATTATGGTTAAACGTATATTTGTAAAATATAAGTACGATAAAAACTACTTTTTTTCTACATTTCGTACGTTTGTTATTTCGCAAATAAGTGGAAGGTGTACACTAAAATATAATTACAGGGTATTAACGAAAGGTTGAGGAGTTCTACGACTTACCAGATGACAACCTTTGCTATTTTTAGGATTTTTATAATATAATTTATTTATTAGTACTTAATTAAATATAAGTAAACTAATTTCTACATTTTATACGTCTATGGTAACATAACCTAAAAACACAAACAAAAATGTAAACTTGCATAGGCGACTTGATTATAGGTATTTTCCTTGTTTAATTTATTCCTAACGAACTTAACATGTAGCTTTTAAAAATAAAAATGTGAGCAACTTGTTGATAATGGTTTATTACAATAATATTACTACTGAAACACCTCTGACAACCACTGAAAGGGTAAGAACAACTGAAAAACCCTTTTTGAAGGATGATATTAAGTTTTTATTTGTTCCTATTGCTGTAATTTTGGTTGTGAGCATATTATCTATTCTGGTAAGTAAATTCTTATTATTGCCATGTAAAAAACATTGAATTGAAGAAAATAAATAAATAAACAAGATGTTATATTAGAATGATTTACTATGTTCCTATTAACAAATCTTGCATTAAAATTACATCACAATAGTAATGTGTATTTAAGTAATAGTTTATTTACCATACTCTTATCTTTAAAAAAAGTATCTAGATTTAAATAGAAACAACTTTTTTATTTTGCTTACGTCAAACAAAATACATCAAAATAATTGCATATCATGTAGGTGAAATTTTGAAAACTTTGACAATTGAACTGTCAAACTTTTTACAAATCTGACATATGCCAGACGTGTTTAACCTCACTTTTTTCAATTTAATGCAATTTAATAAGTAAATGTAGAATAGATAAAATTGATTTTAGGTTTATTTTATGCTTAAAAGAAGAAGAATGATTGACTTAAGACACAAGCTTTTAACTTTATACGACTATAACTCTGATGAAGGGGAGGAAGAAGGAGAACCACTTAATAGTTATGAGAATTCAAACTATCAGGCCACATTGGATTATACATCATCATTTTTTTAATTAAAAAAATTGTATATACTTAAATTTCTTTCTATTCATTATTATTATAATGGTGATAAACTTAAAAATATGTGCCTTAAATACGAATATTTTTCTTAAAAAATTACATTGTAGTTGGGTGTATTACAGGGTGTTGTATGTATACCAAATCTTGCCTCAGTATTTACAATATACAGGGTGTTTGTAACCTTTTACAGAGCCTTGTTTAAATGTTTAAAAAATGTTTTTGTTTTGTTGTAATAATTTTTATTTTTAATTATTTATTTTTAAAAATAAATAAATTCCTAGATAATTGTAAAAATTAGTTGTTTTAAACAAATGAGTATTATTTAAGTTAATTTATTTTGATGTTACATATTTGATATTATGTAGTTGTAGTATATTTATGTAAAAATAAAAATATACCGAATTTGGTTTGGGAGTTTTAATAAATAAAACCAACAAATAAAAGGTTTTTTATTAGAGTAATATTTTATTTATTTTTCATTTTAATTCTTTCATACAAAGGCACGTAAATATCACAGAAACTATCATCATTTTCATTTAAATTATTTATATTTTCATCATTACTTACCACTTCATTATCATCACTACTTTTGTTGGTTAATAAATTAAAAGTTTTTTCAAAAATATCTTCCCCCTCTTCAGGATTACAAACAAAAAAACTTGAAGAATTGACGCAGTTTGAATCTTCAATTTTATCCAAATTTAAATTACTTAAAATATCCTTGTAATCAGGTTTTTTCTTTAAAATATTATCCACAATATCCGAAACATCCAAGTCGTCTTCATCGCCAAACTTTGACATATCCATGTCGAAGGAAAAATCGCAGTGGGCCGGTGCAAGTTTCGCGGGCGTTGATTGGTGGTTTTTCAACGCGCGACTGTTAATCACGGCCTTCTTGAGGTAGTTTTCTGAGGTTATGTTTTGCTTCGGTGTTTTACGATCCTGATTTTTTTCTGTTATAGAGATGTTTTTAAGTTTTTCCTCTAAATTGTCGAAGGAAAACTCTTTTATTGGCGTCGATTGACGTATTTCCACGATTTCGTCGTTTTTGAAGTAATTTTGGATTTTGTTTTCTTCTGCAGTCTTCTTGGTTTGCCGGGGCTTTCTGGGTTTTTTAGCCTTCACTTCAATGGAGGTGTTTTTCAACATTTCCCCCAACTCATCAACAGTCACTTTTGGTTTTCTTTTGGTGATTTTTTTCGGTTTTATTTTTGACTGGTTGAAAGCTTCCACCAGCTCTGGGTATGCTTTTTGCACCAGGTTTTGCGGTTCAATGCTCGACCAGATTTTCTCCAAATCCTGGTTTTCCAGCTGGGATTCAGGAATTATGTATTTGAAATATTCGTGCGGATCTGACCAAATTATTTCGTAACTTGGAATACCTATAAAATAAAATAAAAACCCATACACTTCTATATTTTACCGTGTGCTGTGTTTTTAGTTTTTTTTTTAATGTTTACCTTTTGGATTTCTAACTTTTTTAATCCTGTCGGGCACCAAAACGCCCTTTAAATGTTCATGAGATTTTAGGGAGTCTGCATTCATAACTTGCCACCTTGTCAAAATCGGCAAAATTTTCTCCACCGAATAAATTTCCTCCCATCCCAGAAATTTCAGAGAAAATTGCTAAAAAAAATTAGTTGTACAGCGCGATTAGAAGTGAAACTTGGCATAGTTCCTCATCGCAATTCAAACATTCAAATTCGTTTATATATTTTTTTTAATAAAAGACTTAAACCAATGATCATTGTTACTGTAGTTATACTTAAGTCCCAATTAAAGTAAAAAATATAATTATACACAATCATAAAGTAACTCCCTTGAAAAAACGATTTTTAGGAAAAATTCGACAATTTTTAAAGTGCTGATAAGTGATTATTGCTCATCTTTTTCAAACCAAATGGATGATATTTTCAAAGACAGGAAAATTAACCACTAGATTTTTAACGAAAAGGATTAACCTAACAGCAAATAATGTTTATATTTGTTTTTTTATATCCCCCTTATTTTTTAAAATTTCAAAAATTTTTGATCTGTTTAGCTGAAAATAATGAGTGATTTAATATTTGTAAAACCAAAAACGTTACTTTTTTACTCCAAAAAAGTTATTTTACTTTAGAATCTTTTTATAGGTATCGATATTATATAATAATTAACAAGTAAATTATCAATAATAAATATTACTGTCAATTTGACAGTGTCAGAGTATTTAATTAAGGTCTTTAGCAGAAGTACAATTTTTGAAATACTAAAAATACTAAATCAAACTGGTATAAGCTACCAACTTAATTAAAAAACACCAAATAAAAAAATGAACTATAACTCATGCAAGAACGTTTTTTATATTTTTAAACATTTTTTTAAATATTGCCATTGTTTTTTGATTAGTTTAGAAAAAAAATATTCCAGTGAAAGTATGTGTTTAAAACTCGTATAAAAACACATAATTTATTTAAGTACAAACGCCAGAAGCAAAACTAAGAATAAATAGGGTAGTTTAACTGCTGCAAGCTCTCAGAAAACTTAAATCGTTTTTTTGATTTAAATCGTTTTAATGACTTAAGTCATTTGGTAATAAGTCATTTCTCTAAAACTGACTTAAGACTTAAAATTTAAGTAATTTTCAAAATGATTTGTGACTTAAATATTTTTTTCAAAATAGAAAAAAACTTAAGTCATAGTACATACGATTTCAGTCAGATAGAAACGATTTAAGTCAAAAAAAGATTTAAGTCTTTTTGAAAAAGATTTAAGTCTTTTTAGAAAATATTTAAGTCAAATTTTTCATATATTTTTTATAAATTTTTAACAGCGGCATTTTCTTTTGAACTGCCAGGGGTTCACGCGGTAGCAGATCAAAAACTCCTTTAATTTCCTACAATTTTTACCGCTAGAGGATAAAAAAACCGCCGCGTAAAGTTAGCTTTTTGGAACCGTTTGACGGCTACATTAAAAAATGTCTTGTCTAAAATGAATTAAAAAAAGTGGAGATTTATAATTTTGTTATTTTGTTTGCCAACATTCGTCATGTTCGTGCGTAGTTATGTCTAATTTGTGATTATTAGTGCAAAGTGAAAACAATCTGAGCGGTCTTGAATCGAGAGTTTGGAACTTCCCATCATTACTCCCTTAAGGAAGGAATTTTTTTTTCTAGATGGATGTTGAACCAGCTAACAAAAGTTAACAAAGCAACAAATTATCAGTTTTTGAAATACAGCGATTTTAAGAAAAATGCTTTTATCTATTTTAACAGAGTTTGAATCTATTACCGTTTAGAAGTTACCCATTTATGTATATAAAAAAGTAGCCTCCCTGTATGTCTACTCGGTCTAGGACGTTCTGGCGCAACCGATTTGACGCGACCGATTTGGCGCGGCCGTACTGGCGCAGGTCCGTTGTGACGCAGACCGCTTCTGGCGCAAAGCCTATTTGGCGCAGGTACATTCTGGCGCGAAGACTTTATGGCGCAAATAATTAAAAACATATCAAAAATCGACCCTATTTTAACCATTAAAACCGCAATGTACCTGAAAAATAAATGAAACACAAACATATTATTTGAAACATAAATTTATTAAAACGTAATTCAAAACATATATTTTATTACAAATTCATACAAAATAATACATCCCTACTATATTATAATTGTAAGCTAAGCCATATTATAATTGTAAGCTAAGCCTTTCAAATATTCTACCATCCCTATAGATATTATTGAAATTTTCTACAATATTCTTAATTCTTTTATCACATTCAACATATTTTCTAAGTTTTTTAGGAGGTGCCTGTCCAGCTATTAATTGTTCTATATAAAAATTTATTTTATTATTCTTATCATCTCTATAACAACTAAATAAACGCCAACTTTCTTATATTATTATTATAGGAAGTCATTAGCGTATCATATAATATATATATATTATATAGTTATATTTATCATTCTAGCAGGGTAGGCACTAATTACAACAAAAGGTTGATAAAATAAGGTCGATTTTTAATATGTTTTAAATTATTTGCGCCATAAAGTCTTCGCGCCAGAACTTATCTACGCTAAATAGGCTTTGCGCCAGAAGCGGTCTGCGTCACAACAGACCTGCGCTAGTACAGCCGCGTCAAACCAGTCGCGTCAAATCGGTTGCGCCAGAATGGATCATCTCGATGTCTACTCTACTAAAAAAGGTGGTTTAAGTTTTTATTTTTATTGTCTAATATATACTCAAAAAATGTGTTTTAAGATTTTATTTTGTTTGTAAGTGTTCTGAAAATAAATCGTTTTAAATTCTTAACATAGTTACAATACAATAAAATAGTCCTTCGGAGGGGACTTTAAGCCGTCGGTCCGTTCCTACCCCTAACCCGCACAAGCCATTCAGTTGGCTTATGGGACATCTTAGTTTGGATGTAAGGGTGGAACTAAAAGAGCACTTTATAACTTTATAACTTTAATACAATAAAATTATTACATTAATGTAATTACATTTAAAAAATCGTTGTATTGTAATTATTTTGATTTAAATCACAATTTTTGATTCAAGTCATTTTATTGACTTAACTCTTAGATCACGATTTAAATAAAAAATATAGACTTAAGTCATAAAAACGACTTACTAAAGGAATTAAGTCATAAGATGACTTAAATCACTTTATATTGATTTAAGAATTTGCGAAAATGACTTGACTTGAAAGAAAATGATTTAATTCAAAGACTTAATACTTAAATCATTTGAACTTTATCTTAGAATTGACTTAAGATTTAAATCATTTTGATTTTAGAATTGACTTAATACTTAAGATTTAAGTCTTTTTAAAACTGACTTGTTGCAGCTCTGGGTAGTTATGCAATTTTTTGAGTAAATTTGGTTGAAATTTTAACACAATAGATAAAGTGAACACATGAAGCTAAAAATATTTTAAATTTCAATAAAATCGGACCAAAATTTATCAAGTAACAGCAATTTAGAAATTTAAAAATTGTCGAATTTTTGCTAAAAATCAATTTTATTTCGTTTAAAATAGGATTTTTTAAGGAAGCTACTTTATGAATGTGTATAATTAATTTTTTATCAGATTAATTAGGTCTTCAGGTTAGTCTAGAAATGGGGTTTTTGGGAAGTAATAGTAATAACATAACATAAGTGGTTCTGCACTACTGCAAGAATTTCAAGAAATCATACATTTTGAATATTAGAGCTTCACGGTGGATAGGTTTTTAAATAGCAAATTAATGAACTTAAACTTTTCAATTATAAAACAGCAACACTCTCATCTGCATATAAATTCTAACTGACCTTCAGGAATCACATGCATCTATAATGTCGTAAACAGAGGTTTTTGCTTATTTAAAATGATTAAAGCGCAATTCGTTGCATAAAATTTAAAGCAAAAACAGATTCACGGAGGATACAATCAATTTTTGTAACACCTACATAAATGGTTATAAAAATTATTTCTTTTAATTTTTAATAATATTTTATATTTGATTCGATTGCTTTGGATGTGTTTAATTTACTTAGTGAACTGATATTTTTAGTATGCTTTTACTACCTCAGATATTTAAAAACATATAGGTTAACCTAAAAAGAGTAACAGTCACGGAGGATAGGTTTTAGACTTTTAAAACATTGTAAAAATTAATTAATTGCGGTTAAAAATCTGGAACGTGAGCTGTAATTTCTACTTAATTATGAAAGATCAAAACACAATAAAAGTGTAGGTCAAACTCATTTAGTTTTATTAAATATCACAGGGTAACATGCATTTGATTAAATACACGAATTTAAATGTTTGCATATTGAAAAAAAAACGTTTTTTTGTAATATCTCGAAAACAAGAGCTAATTATAATTATAATAAGTAATTATAATAAGTAATATGATTACCTCAAAAAAGTTGCCAAAGTTTAACTTATACCGATTGTTAACTGTTAAAAAAATATTTTACTTACAACAAATTTTACTAAATTGGGTTGCTTCCACTTTATGTCCAGTTTTGATACGTTGTCTTTTTTCGTTAAATATTCCGTTATTAAAGCTTCTTTCGGAAATTCTGGATCCAATATAGATTTTGACCTCATATTTACTTCATTTTTCATTATAAGTCGCTTTTCTTTGTAGGAAGAATCGCAGCCCTTATTTGTACCACAAGAAATGCAACCTTAAAATAATCTCTAATACAATACAATCCCTGTTGGTGCGTAGATGAGTAAAATCATATAAAAAGTAGTTAAATATAGGTGACTACGGCCTAGGAGAGACAAAGTATTCCTAGCGGATAATAATCTTCGCTTTGAAAAGAATTTATATAAAAGAAAAGTTTTCAGGACGAGAAAAATAAATTTCTTAAAAAAAAAGTCTTTAGGATTAAATGTCAAATTTCACTTACCATTTCTGGTGTGTCCCTGTACTTTGCCATGGTGGCCGCAGCTGGTGCAAATATTTTTATCGTTGATTTTTTCTTCGTATTTTTTGTACAGTGCCTCATTGGCGCGCCACTGTCTCAAACGGTCGAGCACTTCGGCGTCCGATACATTTTCGAAAAATTTCATTATCGAATCTTTTCCGATGCCGGGGACACCATCCGAATAGTCGCTTCCAAGAATTAGAGCCATGGTTACGAGTTTATTTCTACCCAAATCTTAAAAAAAAATTAAAATAATTAGGGTAAAGTAGTTAGTTAGTAGTTAGTTAGTAGTTAGTTAGTTATTGGACAGTTAACATTAATACTGTAAAAACAAGAGTTCTATAAATAGTTACCTTAAAGTCAAATCATTAGGTGACGCTGCATACAATTACAACTATCTCAGTCGGTAATAATACAGAAATACTTTATTTTGGGTCCCATATGAGACAAAAAAGTTCGCACGTTACTTTGGTGGTAAGATTTTTGTTTTTTTTTGTTAAGAGCAGAGCTGTGTATAAATTACAATACAAAATATTTCTAAAAAGTGTACAGATTAGTGTGTGGTATAAATGTCTTCCTCATGGTTTAAACATTGTCACTTTAATGCGTTTTAATTTTAATTCTGAAAACAAACAGTAAAATGGCCAGTGTCCAATTACTGGTTGGTAAAAAATGTAAATATCTATTATTGGACATATGTCCAATATCATACTCTATTTGTATCCCGGGCATTTACCAACCAATTCTTATGTAAAATTGTCATCTGAATCCGAAAAGACCGTCAAAAATTATAAAAGTTAAGCAGTTTTTAAGATATAGTCAATTCCATATTATATGTAAAATTGATTATATTTCAAAAACTGTTCTACTTTTATAACTTTTGACGACATTTTCGGATTCAGCGAATAATATTTCATAGGAATTGACTGCTAAATGACCTGCATACAAATTGATGTTGACAAGAATTATTAGTGCTTTTTCGCTATGACATTTTTGATTAATTCATTTTTAGGAAGTAACTAATATAGTGATTTTTTCGTCACAGGACATCTTGCAGAATAACAGTGATTTAAATACAGTGCATGATAGGGAACATAAAACAAAATTAACATACCACCCGAAAAAATATTAGATATATATATATATATATATATATATATATATATATATATATATATATATATATATATATATATATATATATAAATCACTGTTCCGGCCTAAACATTATAAATGCTTCACAAACTAGAGATACCACCCTTAATAATATTTGAAACAAACTATTTCAGAAGTCAGACCAAGGAATTAGTAGTTACCTTCAGAATCCAGAAAAGGGATAAGAAATCCGAGAAAGAAATATATGAATTATATGATATTTACAAAAACGAAATAAAAAAAATTGCCTAAAACAGCAATTTATCTTTAAAAAATATTTAACAATTTATGTTATTTGATGTAAAGTTGTTATGTTTATATAAAAATTGTATGTGTCCAATTACTATATAAAATGCCCAATTACTATACTTTTTGCATGTTTTTATAAAACTAATATTAAAAATTCAAATATTCTTATTTTTAAGTGAACGTAAACAAAGTTTAAACAAACTATCCTTTTTATATATAAATATATAAGAAAAAAACTAAAATCTTTAAAATACAACGGCATTTATATATTTTAAATAAATAATATTCCTTCCCTGATAGCACACTTTATTCTAAGAATATTTTTTTTAAACCTTCCAGTGAGAATATTCTTAGGATCATGCTATATTTCTTCTAAAGAACATGCTTAAAAGACATATACATGATCCTAAGAATATTCTAACTGGCCTATAGGCAGGTTCTTAGAAGGTGCAAAGTTTTAGTGGTAAAATTTAGTCTACTCTGAACATATGCGTAGAATGTTAAGAAAGAAATTGCTATAGAAAGTTCATTAGGAATATTCCTGTTAAGCATATTTAGTACCTATATAATAGTAAAATATAATGCATAAACTACGTATAAAGGTATATACCTATACTTAAGTACCTAATTAGTAATTAGTATTAAATACTAAGTAAAAAACACAATCCAAAATATTTTTTTATAGTTATTTGTCAAATTAAAACAATATTCGATAACAAAAATAGTTTTACTATAGGTATTTTATTTTATGTTAAAAATAAATATTTATTTATTTATATACCGATTTTTTATTTCTGAATTAACATTTTTATGTATAATAATCTTAACTATCTTCAACTTCAATCTAATCTGACTTATCCCACAAAATTTTCCAATTTTACTTTTTATGAAATAATGTCATACAACTTATGGTTTAGAGGTCAAATTGTTTATTTAATATTTTTAAATAAATATATATTAATATGTGGCAAATTTTTTTAAGGGGACGACAAATACATTTCACTGTCATATTATGACAGTGAGGCGTATTTGTCGTCTCCTGAAGAATTTCACGAATGTAGAATACAACATATTAGAACGTGGGTACCTATCTAACATATTTGGAAATATTCTAAAAAGCTTCCTAGAAGCTCCATAAGAAACCTTCTAAGAACATTCCAAAAACGTATTCTTAAAAAGTTCTTAGGATGCTTTTTAGGAAGGTTTTAAGAAGCTTTTAAGAATCCAATTGCATCAATAAAAGGGTATCTATTGAATGTTTTAAAAGTCCCTAAGAACATTCTTAGCAATAGGGGAAGGTTCTAAGAATATTCCATTATTCCGGGTCATATCTTCTTAGAAGATTCTTAAAATCAAATTTTGCTATCAGGGTTAATTGTCCAATAACTATGTGGTTTACCCTATGTAGTTTCTCTATATTCTCTAAATTCTTACCCAGTGATTTGTCGACTTTTCTGATGTCATAAACATCCACTGCGCCTCCGCTAGAGGCGTGCGCACCCTGCTGGGAAATCGAGAAGTTTCTGTACACAATTTTGGCCCCGTAAGCAAAACAATCGGAATCCTGACTGATGCAGCCATCAACCAACTAAAATGTAACATTTTTAGGTTTCAGACAATTGCGAATATCTTGTTAAAATGTTTTAAACTCACCCCTTCCTCATTCAAATAGGCGCACAGGGATTCTGCTTCTCCTTCCCCCTTAACACAAGCCAATCCCAAGTACTTTAGCATTTCTTCGCACTGTCTTAAAACAAAATGAAATCTGGTTCTGTCTTTACCAGTTTTAGTATTTTCGGTCTTGGGTTTGGCACCTAAATTAAAATATTATGGTGAATTATTCCGTTTTTAATTGTAAATAAAATTCAAGAACTAAATCGTTGCATTTTCATGTTTTGCCAAAGTTAGTTTGGACATTTTTAAGAAATTAGTAAAAAATAATTTTTGCACAAACATAACCTTAAAATCAACCATTTTTATATTTGAGGTCTCTAAAAACGCCGACAACTGCATTTTAAACAACAAAATATACCTACGAATTCATGGCAACATAATATTATATATAATACATAATATAATGGTATTTTACCGTTGAGTGGAGACTTTCTTAATCAACGCTTTTAATAATGCTAAATGCTGTTTAAATTTAGACGACTTATTTGTTTGACGATTTTTACTGAATTGAAATGTTTACACTTTTCACGTTAATCACTACTAAAATGTGTATTTATTGTATCTAATAGGTACAATTTATATTTACAGGGACTGTATGAAATTTTAATTAATTGTTTCGACTTTTACTTGATGAAACTCCATGTTAATATTGTTTTATTTTAATATAAACTACACTGTTTAAAAGTTTCACTATTTTATTTAAATATGACAATTGTTTCGCTACACTGTAGCATCTTCAGATCTGAAGATGCTACAGTGTAGCGAAACAATTGTCATATTTAAATAAAATAGTGAAACTTTTAAACAGTGTAGTTTATATTAAAATAAAACAATGTATGAAATTTATTTCTTCATTCGGATTAACACTGTTTATTCGAAAACCGGTAAAAACTCAACCCAGGATTTCCTCTCGAAATACACCCAACAACACAACAAATCGAGACACGGTTTTTTTTTCCGATATTTTTAAACATTTTCCGGCTTTATTCTCAAAAACACTCGTTTGTAACATAAGCGTTTGACAACTTTTGTTACGATGATAACAACCGAGTGGTGGCGCTACTAGCGATACTTCTTTAGCGTATATTTGAAAGAAATTACGGTATTATTTAATTGTAGGTATTTAAAGTTTACCGTAAAAATTAGATATTTTTGAGTTAAAACTGTTTGCTTTCATTTAATAGAATTTGTAACTAAATTTAAAAAGTTCATAGGTACATGTTTTATTTATAGACTGAATTTATTAAATTTAGAAAACTAGAACTAAATGTTGATATTTCTGAAAAAACTGTTTTTATGTTATATTTATTTGTATTCTTATTTTTTGAAATTAAATAAATTTTTAGTTTATTATATTTTATTTTAATCGCCCTTTTTGTATGAATTATATTTTAAATAAATTAAATTTTTAATATTATAAAATGTTTTGAAGCCGGCCCTGTTATCCTATAATTATTTTAAAAAATGCTTTAGTCCGGACCTGTTTACAGGGCCGAAATGTCAGTTGTGTTTCCTTTGCCTAACACAGATGTCGCCCTTCTTATATTCTTTTTCTGTGTTAACAAGTCGGTACTACCAACTGTTGGTATTTTTACGAAACATTATTGCCGCTCTGTTGTGTTCAGATTGAAGAAGAAGAATTTTATTTAGGTTATGTTTACCATTTGTTAAATGGTTTAATCTCCTTTGCAAGTTAAAACGAGATCCCGAAAATGAACCCGATTCTCCCGGACCAGATTTTGGACCAGTTGGTCTGTTCAGAGTGTTCAAAATACTTGTCGGTGTTGCCAGTTCTTGCCTACCCGAACAGAACCGTGAGATGCGGCCGTTGTATAGAAGAGGGCGATGGAGGAGTGCCATCGCAGGTGAATAAGGTTTTGCCAACCACACGCTTCAAATGTGTTAATCGTTACGAGGGATGCACCTCACTTTTACTTCCCGAACAAGTAAAAGAACACGAAAAGAACTGCATCAGCAAAAACTTCGACGCTTGCCCGTTGTGCACCGAATCAGAAATGCCACCCTACATGCTGCTGGCACAACTAACTTCTAGCCGGTGCCCCAACATCGATCCCGACTGGACAAAGAATTTATTATATTATATTATACAATGCATCATTATCATTTAAAATTGACGGCACAACAATAATATAATAATAAATTGTACCTGTATACATGTTAAGGGCACGTTATTTACGTAATAAAACCAAACCAACCCAAACTCAACAACACAACCCAACCGACCCCGCCCCATTGGCCCCCCCCCCGCCCCATTGAGCAAAAAACCCAACTAAAATGGGCAAATTTATGTTACGATAAAAATAAAACACTTTTTAACAAAGGAACAACAAATTTATGAAATAAAAAAGTAAAAAAAATTCGACAACTTCTGAGTATCGAACCCGGGACCTCTCGCATGCAAAGCAAACGCCCTACCATCTAAGCTATCTAGCTTGACAACAAATTTTGTATGTTCGGGGAACAAAACCGGATTATTATTATGACGTCACGTTATAAGGCGGTTCGTGCCAGCTCGTGAGAAGTCGGGATCGATGTTGGGTCACCGACTAGAAGTTTCTGCTGGCACACTTCAAAAAATGTCATAGAAATTATTTGCTGAAAAAACCTGTTGTGCAAATTGATGGCAACGTTGATTCAGACAAATTCTACTTATATTGCACTGATAACATGCTCTTTATGTTGAACCTTTCGGTGGATACAGTGAATGGTAAAATTTTCCTGGACAATAAGTTGGTTGGGTCCCAAGAATTAACCAAAGGGATAAGTCAGCAATTTCGTGTACAAGAAGGTTTGTTTTGCATGAACAGTGAAGTTCAACCATGTGACACATCGTTGAAAAAAAAATTTGAATTTTGCTTGGGAGAGTTTAAAAAATTCGACAAAATTTTTTGCGAACTGAATTTAAATTTTGATGCTGTGCAGTTTGCCAATGTTATAAAGGAAAAGAAAAACAATAAAGAAGAACAAGTTAAAGAAAAATGCCAAAAATCAATGATTAATTATATTAGCTATAACTATTTTGGAAGAGAACTTTACTTATCCCCAAACTTTAAACAATTATATCCTCGTTATAATCTATCCTTATGTAAAATGTATTGTAATCAACTTGAGGATAAGGGGAATATATATATGTTGTTTTGCAGTTTTTGCGGTGACAATTCATCTTCGAAACCTTTCCATAACTACAAAAAATGTTCTCAACCTATTGTATGTTGTCAATCATGTAATGACAATATAAGCAAAACTTGTTCCAAAGGGCATTATCCACAAGGACATTTATTATACAATGGATTTAAACTAAACTTACAAGCATACTGCAAATGGAAATGTGAACAAAATTTTGATAGCCTTAATCTCTATGAACATGAACTGAACTGTATTGAACGTGAGCCCATATCAATTTGTCCAGTGCCAAATTGCACAAGTAGGAATTTTAAAAACTTTTCTGAACTTGAAACTCATTTTAACACCCACAAAAATACAATTTTAAAACCTTACTGTAACAGTATAAATTGGTTTTCCAATTTAAAACTAAATGATTATTATGTATATCTTGACCATGTCACTGCTGTTTTCTGTCACATTGATGATAAAAGAATTAAATTAAAAAATGTAATTAAAACCGATAAGAGCGAGTTTAAAATATTTGTAAATAATACGCTTATTGGGCTTGATAAAGAAATTGAAATTGGAAGTGAATATCTGAAATTTAGAGTGGCAGAAGATTTTGTCGTCAAGTGCAAAAAGGAAGTATAATATTACACATTTCATTTTAAATTTTTTTAGCATAAAATATTTTTATTTTATATGTTTAATTTTGATGATGCTAATACAAATACTTGTATCATGATACTAATAATAATAATAATAAATAAAACCATTTTAAGTGGACTGTGTAGTTTTATTAATCAATTGGTATACTATTTTATGTCTTAATAGTCTGAATCACAACTCATGTTCTGTGTATTTAAACGCAGTTACTACGTGCAAGTTAGAGTGCCTGCAATTTAGTTTTTACTGGCACCACTTTTTACAAAAGAGGAGCTCCTCTTTTGTAAAAAAATAAACCTTATTCTATCAGGGCTGTCAAATGTCAATTTGAAGATTAATTTGTGGGTTATAAAATAACCTTAAATTAACCTTTAAATTGACATTTGACAGCCCTGATAGAATAAGGTTTATTTTTTACAAAAGAAGAGTATAATGATTGTTCTTAAGTAATTACCACTTTGAGGTCTCTTTTAAGTCTTGCAAGTCTCTCTGTAAGAAACACAACGTTTAAAACGATTATTAATCTGTACAAACCCAAAGCACAAGAATTGTAAACAACAAAAATGGCCGCCATTGAATGATGTCCAGTGTTGCAGTAATTTTTATTATTTTTATTACGAGATCGAACAGACCTTGTTGTGTGGATTGTGAATAAGTATATAATATATCATTGGCGTACATTTTTCTTCCTAAAAGAGGGTATTATTAATTAAATTTAAAAAAATGTTGTGGAAAGTACTACAACTGTAGAATTTTCTGGTATAAATTGTTTAAAAAATACGACCAAGAACAATTTGTTAGAAATATTTTAACAATTTTGTAATAAAAATAAACAACAATTTATTGAAGATATAATTATATATTGTAGTTAAATTACTACAATTTCTGTTTTAAATTAATATTGTTATATATTTTAATAAAATATTGTATTGACTAATGCCATTCTTTATTAAAAATAATACAGATTTGCCGTGCTCCAAAATTGTGTACTTTAAATAAATTATACGTTGATATAAATGCTTTAAGTTTTAGTTAATTTCAAAACAATTTTATTAAATAATTAAACATTTTTTTACAATATGGTTGTTGTAAAATTAAATTATTTTATAGTTTGTAGTGAAATTTTTTTTTTTTGTATAATAACAATAATTTGAACACCGAAAAGTAATTCGAACCTTACCGAACGCAAAAACAACAAGTTAAACAAAAAATAGAGCAAGTTAACATCCAACAGCATCGCAAAAACAAGAATTTTAGCAGCAGATAACTCAAAAGCACGTTAAAGATTTAAAAACACTCATTAAGTGACGTATTTAAGCCCCGCCCAACATGCGCACCATCCTATCCT